GGTGGCTGTTACAGACTGAAAAGTCTGGATCAAGTTACCGTATTTTTTGCTCTATAAGACTCACTTTTCCCTCCTAAAAAGTAAGGGGAAATGCGGGTGCGTCTTATGGAGCGAATGCAGGCTGTGCAGCTATCCCAGAAGCCCTTTCACTGCGCAGCGATCCCTCTTGCTGTTCTGGCTTCTGAGATTCAGAATATTTTTTTTCTTGTTTTCCTCTTCCAAAAACTAGGTGCATCTTATGGTCTGGTGCGTCTTATAGAGCGAAAAATACGGTAGTTAACTTCAAACCTGCGCCTGGGAAGGATCAGGATCAGGGAGAGGCTCCCACCATTCTTCCTCAGTGCAGCGCTCCTCAGCACGGTCCCTGACACCAAGTTGGTGGCCATCACTTCCTCCTGTGGGAGAGAGTTCCACAGTCTAACCCAGTGCTGTGTGGAGAAGTCCTTCCTTGTCTCCACCCTGAACCTCCCAACTTGCAGCTTCTTTGGAATAAATGAATGAAATTGAACAAGACCCACAAGCCATCCCACATCTTATTCCTGCAGGGCTTAGGACAGGTGTAGTGGAAACCTTGGCCCCCCAGACGTTGCTGAACTACAACTCCCATCATCCCTGGCTATTGGCCATGCTTGCTGGGGCTGATGGGAGGTGGGTCCTCAGCATCAGGAGGGACAAAGATCCCCCATTCCTAGCACCTAGAAGGTCCGGAGGTCTCCCATTCTTCCTTCTGGACTTTGGCTGCTCATCAGCACAGAGACCTAATTCCTCTTTTTTGTCCCTGGTGGCAATTGGCTATGCTAAGCAGATGCAGATGACGGTTATATAGGAAGCTCACCCTCCTCATATGCAAAACTAGTTCCAAGGGTCTAATTTTCATCAGCAGAGCCTGACTTTTTATAGCAACTGGGAAGCGGGAGAGTGGCTAATGAGCTGTAATTCTGAAGAGCTTCTGCCTTGATTGAGACTAATTATTTTTTATAAAGAGAAATAATTAAAAATGTGAGGTAGGGAGGGAAGAAAACATGTGGAGTTGAATAATCCACGCACCTTTTTCTCTCTCCTTCCCCGAGAACTGATGGCAATGTTTGCGGAGAGACGGTGGCAGAATCGTAACCACAAAGGGCACCTTGAGGTCCTCTAGCTGAGCCCCATTTGGGAACAGTCTTCAGTTGTCCCAGGAGTCCTTGGTCAACGGAGGAAGTTAGTTGAGTCAAAGTCTAGGAAAGATTTGGATCTAGGCAGAAAGCCTTGTTCGGGAGGGGTGAGGAAGCATATTTCAACCCGAGGGCCCCATTCCATTCATAGCAACCTTCTGAGGGCCACATGCAAGCAATGACACAGAACAACTTCTTTGGTTATGTTGATTGTGGTGCTTAGCTAGCTAGCCAAAGCCATTGTCTTAATAAAGGAGCTGGTTTGGCATGCCTTCTCTTATACATTCTACACCTACAGATACAGGACCCCAAGAACTGGAAAGGGTCCTGTGGCATCATCCAAACTGACCCCCACAACCCAAGAGTCTCATATCACTTACAACACTCTGAAAAATAATCTAGTGTCCTCCCTGCTCAGAAAAGACCCGATAGATTCTTCCCAAACCCCTAGGAGATGCCACAGCTGATCTGATCCGTACTCACCCAGTGCACATCCCCGAGCGAGTAGGGAAATAAATCTCCATCTCTGCACCCCTGCCCACAAACGTAGCCTGTTTTCTCATCACAGACACCACATACATTTTGCCTGTGTTGAAGGACCTCTGTTTCCCTGGGGTTGTTTGGATTTAAAAGACTGTGACACTCTCAGCCCCAAAGCATCCACGCTCCAACAGAGCCTCGCAGCCACAGATTAAGGACTCTGACACTAATTGTCGTCCGGCAAGAGAGGAAACTGCATTCCTCCTCTCAAGGACAGAAGTCAAAGCACCCGGTCAGTTGCTGCTTCTCCGTCTCCTCTCTCTCTCTCTCTCTCTCTCTCTCGTAGTCATGCGAGATTTAGTCCAGCAAATATAACTTCAGCTACATCAGGAGAAACCTAGAATGGCGTTTTATCCTAACCTAGGTTTACAAGGGCAAAATTCAGGGTTGCGCCGTTTACAGTGCGATTCTACTCAAAACACGCTATATATAGGCAAAGTGGTCGGTAAAGCCATAGATGAAAGTGAGCAGAGCAATGGATGCGACTCCTACAGTAAGATGTAAACTGGATGAAATTTCTCCTTCATCCCTAAAGCCTACTGCCCTGGTTCTTTTATTTTTTGTGATGTATATAACATGCAGCAAGCATTACCTTTAAACAAATGGACATTTAGTTTTCTTTCGTTGCAACAATTTTTTAAAGTTTGCTTTTAAACTTAACATAATAGAAGTTTATAAAATGATACATGGCATGGACAAAATAATAATATTTATTTGTTTATTAGAATCATAGAATCATAGAATCATAGAGTTGGAAGAGACCACAAGGGCCATCGAGTCCAACCCCCTGCCAAGCAGGAAACACCATTATTTATTTATTTATACATGCATACATACATACATACCCTGCCCATCTGGCTAGGTCTCCCCAGCCACTCTGGGTGGCTTCCAACAGAATATTAAAAACATGATTAAACTTCAAACGTTAAAAACTTCCCTAAACAAGGCTGCCTTCAGGTGTCTTCTAAAAGTCCAATAGTTGTTTATTTCCTTGACATCTGATGGAAGGGTGTTCCACAGGGCGGGCGCCACCACCGAGAAGGCCCTCTGCCTGTTTCCCTGTAACCTCATTTCTTGCAGTGAGGGAACCGCCAGAAGGCCCTTGGAGCTGGACCTCAGTGTCCGGGCTGAACGATGGGGGTGGAGACGCTCCTTCAGGTATACTGGACCGAAGCCGTTTAGGGCTTTAAAGGTCAGCACCAACACTTTGAATTGTGCTTGGAAACATACTGGGAGCCAATGTAGGTCTTTCAGGACTGTTGTTATATGGTCTCGGCGGCCACCTCCAGTCACCAGTCTAGCTGCCGCGTTCTGGATTAGTTGTAGTTTCTGGGTCACTTTCAAAAGTAGCCCCACATAGAACACATTGCAGTAGTCCAAGTGGGAGATGACCAGAGCATGCACCACTCTGGCGAGACAGTCCACGGGCAGGTAGGGTCTTAGCCTGCATACCAGATGAAGCTGGTAAACAGCTGTCCTGGACACAGAATTGACCTGCACCTCCATGGACAGCTGTGAGTCCAAAATGACTCCCAGGCTGCGCACCTGGTCCTTCAGGGGCACAGTTACCCCATTCAGGACCAGGGAGTCCTCCACACCAGCCAGCCCCCTGTCCCCCGGAAACAGTACTTCTGTCTTGTCAGGATTCAACCTCAATCTGTTAGCCACCATACACCCTCCAACTGCCTGGATAGAGAAAGTTTTTTCTCCCTCTCTTGCAACATTAAAATTCATGAACATCCAATGAAGCTGAATGTTGGAAGATTCAGGGCAGAGAAAAGAAAGGAATTCTTTAAGTAGTGCATATTTAAACTATGGAACTCCCTCCCACAGGAAGGAAGTGATGGCCACCAATTTAAATGGTTTTAAGAGAGTACTAGATAAGTTCTAGATAAGTTCTAGTACTACTCTAGAGAGTACTAGGGACGCGGGTGGCACTGTGGGTTAAAGCCTCAGCACCTAGGACTTGCTGATCGAAAGGTCGGCGGTTCGAATCCCCGCGGCGGGGTGCACTCCCATCGCTCGGTCCTAGCGCCTGCCAACCTAGCAGTTCAAAAGCACCCTCGGGTGCAAGTAGATAAATAGGGACCGCTTACTAGCAGGAAGGTAAACAGCGTTTCGTGTGCTGCGCTGGCTCGCCAGATGCAGCTTGTCACGCTGGCCACGTGACCCGGAAGTGTCTGCGGACAGCGCTGGCTTCCGGCCTCTAGAGTGAGATGAGCGCACAACCCTAGAGTCTGTCAATACTGGCCCGTACGGGCAGGGGTACCTTTACCTTTACCTTAGATAAGTTCACAGAGCATATAAGGCTATCAATTGCTGCAAGCCATGAAGGCTATGCACAGTTGGAGGCAGTAATGCTTCTGAATAAGCAGTTGCTGGAAACTGCAGGAGGGGAGATTGCCCTTGTGCTTGGGTCCTGCTTGTGGGTTTCCCATAAGGACATCTGGTCAACCACTGTGAGAATAGGATGCTGGACTAGATGGGCCATTGGTCTGATCCAGCTGGCTCATCTTAATGTTCTTATGTTATTTAGCTGCATCTATTTCTCTCCCAGCATAGTACTCACACAGGGCCACTTAGATCCTTTTAAACAAGTCAGAGAGTTCCACTATTTTTTGGATTTCCTGAATGCAGGCCTTGGTTCTTGTTTGTCTGCAGCATAGAGGACACAGAGCCATGCATGTGACTCACTCTGGCACAGACGCAAAGAGGAGCTTTTCCATGTGAATGTGAAGTAGCAGTCCTGCATTATTTCCATCAGGCTGAAGAGGAGTGGAAGGGAGAGAATGGAGGGGAGCTATGCCATCTGTTCTGCTAAGAGGGCGGCTGCCTTTGGTTCTGCCTCCAATGCCACCGGTTGCGAACTTTTCCTGAATTGTCTCCTTTATAGTCGTTATGAAAACCCTTAAGAACTGACACCCAGTGGCGTAGCGTGGGTTGTCAGCACCCGGGGCAAGGCAAGTAATTTGCGCCCCCTAACCCGTGGATTTTAGTAGGGGCAGAGAGCTGCGAGTGTGAGCGCCCCCCCAGATGTTGCGGCTGGCACCCCCTGCACCCCCACGCTACGCCACTGCTGACACCCAACTTTGCTTTCCGCTCCGTCCTCTTCCTCCTTCCTCCCCACCTCCTTTTGTGTCAACCTTGTGAAACCTTGGAGAACCACCACTAGATAGAGATGGAAGTCTCCCCTGCCTGAAACCACTGAGAGCTGCTGCCAGTCAGTGTCAACTGTACTGAGCTAGCTAGATAGACTGAAGGTGTTGCTCAGTAGAACGAAGCTCCCTGTGTTTTTATGGAGGAAAAGCTGTAGCTTAGTGGTGGAGCACTTGATTTGAATACAGAAAGTCCTAGGTTCAATCCCTAACTGCGTCTCCATGTAGCCACTGCTAGAAACCCTGGGGAGCTGTTGCCAGTCAGGGCCAGCAGAACTGAGATAGAAGGACCAATGGTCGGGCACTTCCTAGTTGGTCATACAAATTGTTTACACTATTGCTTCTAGACCCACCCATCCCGGGGATGTGTGGCACATTGCAGCTTCTCTCTCACACCCACCCACATCTCCCCAGTCACAGAATCGTAGAGGGGACACGAGGGTCATCTAGTCCAACCCCCTGAAATGCAGGGATCATTGTCCAGCGTGGTGCTTGAACTCACAACCCTGAGATTAAAAGCCTCATGCTCTGTTGACTCAGGGAATATGTGACCATTCACATTTAATTTATGTGTGTCTCTGTGTGTGTGTGTGTGTGTGTGTGCGTGTGTGTGTGTGTAGATATAGATATAGATATAGATATAGATATAGATATAGATGATATAGATATATCAGGCATCCCCCAACCTACAGCCCTCCAGATGTTTTGGCCTACAACTCCCATGATCCCTAGCTAACAGGACCAGTGGTCAGGGATGATGGGAATTGTAGTCCAAAACATCTGGGGGTGCCATATATATATATATACAGTATATATATCCCCCTGCTCCCCATTCATCATATACAAATATCAGGGTGGTTTACAAGTCGTCATCCCCCACAACAAAAAAATACCATCCAAACAACACAGAATAATCTTTAAAATGACTGGCTTATCTTAAGAAAGTTTAAAGAACTGAAGTGAATCAGCCAACTCTTCAGGGTTAGCAGAGAGGGAGAGCCCCACTCCCAAGTCCCAGTCTTCTAGAAAAAGGAATAAAGTCTTTAATGATGCAGTCAGGATCTTGCAGACTGAAGACCCATTGTGATATCATCTGCCAGTAAACCAATCAGTTCCCTCTAACTGCTCCCCTTATTTGCATGCCCGAACATTCTAAATAGCCATCTCACGCAATCATAGAATTGTAGTGCTAGAAGGGACCCTGAAGGTCATCCAGTCCAACCCCCACACAACGCGGGGATCATTTGTCCTGCGTGGGTTTTGAACCCACGACCCTGCAATTCAAAGCCACACGCTCTGCTGACTGAGCCATCTAGCCCCACCACAGCTCTGCAGCTGTCGTCCCAAACCCTATCTAAAGAGCCACTGTGGAGGAAAAGCAAACTCTGCCGTTTGAAGTTCTCTTGCATTTGCACAAAGCTGGCAGTTTTCGAGTCCACGGCTTTTCGACTCTACTGAGCCGGCATTTTGCTCGGGACCCCCAGGGCGGAAGGCCCCGTCCAGCACTGCAACGCAGCCGCGGGGTGTTTTGCGGCCTTCTGAGTTATCTGAATGGAATGCTTCGGAGCCGAACATATGGGGGCGGGAGGCAATTTTCTTTTTCATGCTCCGATGGCTCAAAACCAGCTTGAGCGAAGGCAGACCCTGACGCCTGCAGTGGGGGTGCGGGAAGCTATATCCATCTTACTTCAAAGCTGGCAGCCAGCAGAAATGGCATCAGGAGAGAGAGAGAGAGAGAGAGAGAGATTGAGAGGGAGAGAGGAAAAGATTTAGCTGGGGAAAGTTAGAAAGCAGCTAGTGGGGCAACTAAAGGGTTTACTTGCGGGTATCTGGCTGTGAGAATAGGATGCTGGGATAGATCAGTAGTGTGGGGTCAGTCAACTAGAGGGACTAAGCTAGTGCCTCAAAATGTTCCCAGCAAATTAAAGTTTTAAAGGCTGATGCCTCCGTCCCAAAGTCCAGGAATACAGTGGTACCTCAGGTTACAGACGCTTCAGGTTACAGATGCTTCAGGTTACAGAGTCCGCTAACCCAGAAATAGTACCTCGGGTTAAGAACTTTGCTTCAGGATGAGAACAGAAATCGTGCGGCGGCAGCGGGAGGCCCCATTAGCTAAAGTGGTACCTCAGGTTAAGAACAGTTTCAGGTTAAGAACGGTCCTCCAGAACGAATTAAGTTCTTAACCCGAGGTACCACTGTACTCTGTGTATTCCTTGCCAAAGCCCTCGATACTCCATGCCCCTTCCAACTCTACAGTTCTATGATCTATCGCTATCTATTTATTTATTTATCTATCTATCTGTTGGCTTTTGCTGCCCAACTCCCCAAGGGACTGAGTCCCCTAAGTCCATGATCAGTCAGAGAAGAATGAATGGAGGCAGGATCCAGGGAAAGCAAGGCCGGTCTTTATTTTTATGTTGAAACAGAGTGCTGGATTTCTCAGTGCTGTCTTTACATATAAGCTAAACAAGCTGCAGCTTAGGGCCCCACTCTCTTGCGGCCCCCCAAAAAAATTAAAGGGAAAAAAAACCTGGATGAACATTTCCAAAATATAAGATAAAAAATAAATAAAATAAAACCTACATACAGCAACAGTGTTTTGTGTTGTGTAGGCTCCTATTTGTTACGTGCAAATGGCTTTAGATACCTATTAGGTCCATAAATTACCATATAGCATATATTCAACACAAAAACAGCGACAATTTGTTGTTGACAAAGGACAGCTGGACATATAAAGGGCCCCATTACCTTCAGTAGCTTAGGGCCTCTCAAACCTAAATCCGGCCCTGCTTCCACACATTGCAAGAAAGTAAGAAAGACCCAGAACAAAGTGTGCAGGAACTTTTAAAGACTTTTGACATTGCCCAACCCCTTAGCCAAAGACCACCTTAAAAGCATCACACATACATCACAGAAAGAGGTGGGCCACCACAGAAATTTGAGATTGTGGCTGTCTGCCAAGATCCCTGATAATGTTTTGCTGATTGCATTACCTGGGCAGCCTGACCATTATTCTGAGATGGTAAATACTGTAGTTCTTGGACCCAAGTTACAGGTATCTCCTATTCATACACAAATATGCCCTTCGAACAAGCGTTGCCATATTTCAAAAAGTGAAAATCCGGACACAAAAGTTGTTGGTGTTTTTGCAAAGTTGTTGAGCTTCCAACATGGGCTGCCATATGCCTGGGTTTTCCTGGACATTTTTACCAGTTTTCAGAAATTCCACCCGGACCCTATTTTCAACAGACCAATCCTAGATATGTCTGGGAAAACTCAGACGTACGGCAGATAGGATTTGTAAGTGAAAATAACTACTGGGAAAGGTTTCTCCAGGACATCTCCTTCCACAGAGGAAATATTTAGAGCACCGTATTTTTTCGTCTATAAGACGCCCCCATGTATAAGACGCCCCCTATTTTGGGGCAACAACCAACTGCCAGTCTACCCTCGGCACTATCTGTGTATAAGACGCCCCCTAATTTTTGACATTTTTTTTGGGGGGGGACCTAGTCTTATACAGTGGTACCTCAGGTTAAGTACTTAATTCGTTCCGGATGTCCGTTCTTAACCGGAAACTGTTCTTAACCTGAAGCACCACTTTAGCTAATGGGGCCTCCTGCTGCTGCCATGCCGCCGGAGCACGATTTCTGTTCTCATTCTGAAGCAAAGTTCTTAACCCGAGATACTATTTCCGGGTTAGCGGAGTCTGTAACCTGAAGCGTCTGTAACCTGAAACATCTGTAATCCGAGGTACCACTGTACAGTCATACCTCGGTTTACAGCCGCTTCAGGTTGTGTTTTTTCGGGTTGTGGACTGCCGAAACCCAGAACGGGTTACTTCTGGGTTTCAGCAGTCGTGCATGCACTGAAGTGCTAAATCACAACCCACAGCAGACGTGGGTTGCGAATGCTGTGGGTTGCGAACGTGCATCCCACACGGATCACATTTGCAACCCAAGCATCCACTGTACATGGGAAAATATAGTAATTAGAAAAGCCAAGATAGCATTGGGGGTTGTTGGGTGTGCTAAAATAATGTGAAGTTTTCTCAGGGAATATTTCATTCATACACACACACATACACACACACACACACACACACACACACACACACACAAACAATGTATAGACACACGCAAACCACCCAAATCCAACAACATGGCTAACTCCCAGTCTCTATTTGGTATTTTTTAAAACCAACCCCCTCCCCCACAAAATCACCATCACTGGCTGCAGATCCCTCCCTCCTTCCCCTGCCTGCTGTTTTCTAGTTTATCTCTTCTTTAGCACAAGCCTTCAATGCAGTAATCCCCACCAGGTAGGTTTTGAATCTCCACAATTCCTTGATATCTCGGCTCCACGAGGGGCCTGCCACTGACGGTGCTGCCAATACATGGTCTCCCTCCAAAAAAGGAGCGGCAGCCTTTGGTTTTTTCCAAAAGCAAAAGCGATAAAAGGTGCTTGTTAAAAGTTAATTGATCCCCCCCCCCTTTAAAAGGGGGGAAGAGAAAGGAGCTTAGAAGACAGACTGTGAGATGAATATAATAGCCAAATCAAAATCCCCACTGATGTCACCGGCGTGAAAATCATGAGAACTTGACGACGTTTATTTTACTTCCTTTCATTTAATTTGAAGGGCGAGTGGTGCATTCTTTGACGCTGTTGTTTCAAGAGGTTCCCCCTGCTTCGCCTTCCACTCTTCCTCCCTTAACGGTTTCGAATGGATAATTCCTTCTTTGGAAGATAAAACTCAAGATGAATTTTAATGCACGCTCCAACTGTCTGTGCAGTGAGAGTTCTAGGGGTACAGGGGGTATTGTTGTTGTTGTTTAGTCATTTAGTCGTGTCCGACTCTTCGTGACCCCATGGACCAGAGCACGCCAGGCACTCCTGTCTTCCACTGCCTCCCGCAGTTCGGTCAAACTCATGCTGGTAGCCTCGAGAACACTATCCAACCATCTCGTCTTCTGTCATCCCCTTCTCCTTGTGCCCTCCATCTTTCCCAACATCAGGGTCTTTCCCAGGGAGTCTTCTCTTCTCATGAGGTGGCCAAAGTATTGGAGCCTCAGCTTCACGATCTGTCCTTCCAGTGAGCACTCAGGGCTGATTTCCTTCAGAATGGAGAGGTTTGATCTTCTTGCAGTCCATGGGACTCTCAAGAGTCTCCTCCAGCACCATAATTCAAAAGCATCAATTCTTCGGCGATCAGCCTTCTTTATGGTCCAGCTCTCATTTCCATACATCACTACTGGGAAAACCATAGCTTTTACTATACGGACATTTGTTGGCAAGGTACAGGGGGTGCCCGGGTTTTATTCCTTAGGAGTTAGATCCCTGTGGACTTTTGACATTCTGGTGCCCTATAGATTCGTTGCACCATGGGTGGCTAACCTTTGGCTTTCCAGATGTTGTCATACTACAAGTCCCATCATTCCCTGACCATTGGCCGTCATGCCTGGGGCTGATGGAAGTTGAAGACTCCAACAACAGTTGCAGAGCCATAGGTTAGCTACCCTACAGGTTGGTCATAGATGGAGATTTGCAGCATTAAACACCCCAACAGACACCTTATATTACAGTGGTCAACGAACTTTTTCAACAGGGGTCCGGTCCACTGTCCCTCAGACCTTGTGGGGAGCCGGACTATATTTTGGAGAGATAAAAATGAATGAATTCCTATGCCCCACAAATAACCCAAAGATGAATTTTAAATAAAAACACACATTCTACTCATGTAAAAACACCAGGCAGGCCCCACAAATAACCCAGAGATGCATTTTAAATAAAAGCACACATTCTACTCATGTAAAAACAGGTTGATTCCTGGACTGTCCGTGGGCCAGATTTAGAAGGCAGTTGGGCCGGATCTGGCCCCCAGGCCTTAGTTTGCCTACCCATGCCTTATAAGGTAAGCTTGTAAGCTTGATGTATGAATGAGGATTTCAACCATAGACTCCCAGGTTCTAGCCCAACTCTCTAACCACTACACCACAGTGTCTTTCTTCTTAGGATTTCAACCAACCCATATGCATGCAGTTCCTCTGCCTTCGGTGAAAGCCTGCTGTCAAGTTAGTCATTGGGTTGTTGTCTGTGCAAGGGACTTCACTGTCAGTCACAGTGCAGGAGGCTGTTCAATAGTGGCCCTTTGCTGACAAACTAACAGGCAGCAGTCAGATATGCAAAACACCAGCAGACTCTCTCGCAGCCCCGAGGTCAGCCGGTACTGGAGCTCTGGCAAAGTGACCAGGCAGACACTCTTTTAGCATATGGCCTTTGCATGCAACAGCAGAGGTTACCTTTAACAAAATGACTTCT